AAAAAAAAAAATCGTGATATGATATTTTTGCTATATCGCCCAGCCCTAGTTGCATTCAATCCTCCACTCGTCGTGTCGCTGATTAGCCTCTGCTCTGCCTGTGTGTGGTCATGTGTTTCGGAGGAGGCGTGGCTTTACAGAGTGATTACGCAGGGAGGGTGGAGTCTTATGCTTTCAAAGCTAGCTTGCTATTGCTAGCCTCTCCGAAATCGCTTACCCTACCTTTAAGGTTACTGGAAAGACGTTTGTTCTTAACTTTGCCAGAACGTTTGCCCTGTTATTTGGGATGTTCTCTGCGAACATCAATGATATAGACTTGCTCGGTGTTGCGTCATAGCTGTGGGTGTGGCGTGGGGGCGGAGTCGGCATTTCCCCCTGACTGGAAAAGCATGGTGTTAACCCAGTATGTGCCATGTAGAATCACTTCTGCTGCTCGACAGAGCAAGATACATAGAAAAACTGAGCCGTATTGGGTCGGACTGTCCGTACAAACGACCGGTTTGTGTTCCTGATGGCACGATGCAGATGTAAATGTATGTTCATTAACAAAAACAGCAACATCTGTAAAAACTGTAACAACATATTTTTAGAGGGTCGTTTCATTTGGCTTTAAAATAAATCACAAGACATTTGTGTTCTTTGCTGAATTGTCCTGCTTCAGACGCACAAACAACATTTATCGGATACGTGTTGTCGTTTTATCAAGGGCAAAATGTTTATGTTTATATCGTCATAATTACAGTTATCGTTTTATCGCCCAGCCCTAAATTCAACTTTTTTTCTCTCTTCTTATTTTACAGAGGACAAATTACATCACCTAAATATAGCTTCAGTGGAAATAAGTTACTTTTACGTTTTTGATTTACATAATTTCAGAAAAGATTACAAAATCCCCCACAATCTGGGCCGTTTCTCAGTATGCGTTCTTGTCTGTACTTGTGTTCTTGTGGAGCGTCATCAGTCGTCGCCCAAGTACTGTTCCAATTCAAACTTCACATATTGGGTGTTTCTCAAACGGAAGGCTGCCACGTCATCAAACGTCGCTGAAGGCCGTCTCAATCGCAAGGATCCTTAGAAGGCAGCCTTCGTTTCACGTCCTTCATTCAGCTGAAACTGAAGGATGCATCTTCAATCACCCACAATCCTTTGTACCATTCCATTTCAGCAAAATTAACTGACGAAAAATGAAGAGTCGGTACTGAGCTTGTCTGAATTTATTATGAAATGTAAGACAAAAATAATGTTTTCGGACATGAAAGCATAGATGTTATTTTTTTTGTTTTGGTGTAAATTACTCACTAAACGCTAAACTGCCAATAATGTTAGCCACGGGGAGACTAGACGGATGTGATTCATTGTATTGCATTAATAGAAAGCCAAATAATATAAAGATTTGTAATACAAAGTATTTTTCCAAAACTAAGTTTTATTAGTATTTTCGTGCCGTGGTGGTGAGGGCGGAACATATGTGACGTAGCCACGCGCACTTACTAGACTGTTTCATTCTAGCGTTTAATGCCGAGGAGGACTAGCCTACAAGCCTCTGAAGGACTGAGCTAGGGCCCTAGTTATCAAGGATGTTTCCAGATGTGACTTGTGCGAACTTGAGGCAGCCAGGTATCCCAGAACGCATTTCGCACCAATCAGCGAGCATTAATGGCGGAGGAGAAAACCCGCATACTTTTCAAAATATTACTGTTATTGTGTCATGAAATGCAGTTCTAAGAGTATTTCAGACGAGAATGTAGTTGTTTAAAACTAAAATCTGCAGTTTATTTATAAAGACAGCGCCTATTTGAAAAAGTGCTTCACTGATTTCGGAGACGATCCGCGGACGCTCAGTGCTCATGAGTCCCAACGAGAGGAGCTTAACCGCGGCTAGTCCTTCTGACATTCACCGCTGGCTCTGATGTCTCTGTAGTGGCTAAACACGAGATATAACTCATTTAGGGTAAATCTAACAGCCAATCTTTGGTCTCATGAATCTATCGTTGCTTCCAGGTCATATTGTTTTGACTGAGCACAAAGTTATGTTTCATTCATTATTTATTAATCGTAATACAACGCTGAATTTGCTGCATACATTTGAGTGAATTGTTTGCTTTTGTCTTATTTCCTATTACAGAAGTCTCTTATACTTCATAGTTATACTTTTATAATGGCTATTATTGTTCATTAAAACTGACATGTAACAAAAAATGCAGAGTTGTGCTTGTCATATTTCATTTTATTAAACATTCAGTGAAGATAATCAGTGAGTATATGTGCACAATATTACCTAAACCACATATTAATATGTTTTAGATTTTTTAAATGAGAACGAAATGAAGGTTGTGTTTTATATTTTGAAGAAAACGAAAAGGCAGTGGTGCTTGATATCATTTCGTTTTATTGTAATGCGTGTATGCGTTGCATGAACTACATTTTTGTGGCTATTAATATGTTTAAAAGAAAATGAAAAGATGCAGTGGTGTCCATATATTTCGTCGTCTTGTAAATGCATACAGTTAGGATAACCGGAGTAGCTGAGTGACTTTATCAAGTACGCTGTTCTATTTGCAGAATTACGGGACTCCCGAGTCGAACTTTGCGTACTTGGGATTGAGAAACGGTCCTGGAGTCGAGTGAGATACTGATTCCATTGGATTTACTTTCACTTTCGATTTTAATCCATTTCATGGCGCCAACAACAGCAGTGTTACTACGATCTAATAAACACACAGAACAACATCTTATAACAACCTGACACGATATTAATAAAGGCTGGTAACCGAACTTACCGTCAAATATGATCCTTTATGATGGTTTCAAACCTCCGGCGTCTTTTCGGTTCTAACGGAAAAGTTTGAACTCACGGAACATCTTCGCGGCTTCTTCTTCTTCTTTGGTGTTTTATTGGCGGTTGGCAAACCAGCTTATAGGTGCATTAGCGCCACCTGCTAGTGTACAGGGGTCGCTCAGCTGCAGAACAGGGGGATTATATTCTGTCATACTGAAACAATTCCTCATGAACTCTTGATTGCATTGAAACATTTCCTAATTACACTTTGAGTGAGATATATATTATCAAATCCCATCGGTCCTAATTCTTGAAGTCTTTCTCTTTCAAATACAACGCATTCTATAAGAATATGCTTTACTGTTTCTAGGTTTCCACATTTATCACAATTGTCAGTTTCACACTTTCCTATTTTATGCAAACTGTAATTTAATGCTGAATGTCTTGAAATAATAACATCTTTCTTTCTGTTTCCATATCTCATCCTCTCAGCTCCAGCACACTCCTGAAGATCTCCCTGTTTTGTGCTATCACATAACGTTTGCCATTTCTTTCTAACTAATATTGATTTTAGTCCCTTGATTTCAGTCTTGTTTATTGATGTATTTGAGCACACTTGTACTTGTGTTCTCAAATCTGTAGATCAATCAGCGGCACTGGGAGCAAGACCCTGAAGCAGAAAACTGTAAGAACAACTAGATTAAAATGCATTCTTGTCTTTGCCAGATTTTGTATGAGAATCCTTCTTTCAGCCTTGTATTTCTGGCAGTAACATGTTCTACAGTACTGACACCTTCCTGTAATATTATAAAGTGTACCGTTTGGTCTTGTGTGTCCTGGATATTATCATCTCATCTCATCTTTGAGCTCTGTAATACCATCCTTTCCTCTCGTCCTCACGATGTTAAATCATGCTCACTCCAGATAGCCACACTATTTTCTCAAAATCACGTCTAATAAATGTGTTGAAAGCAGAATTTATTAGCGGTAATATTCCGAGTACATCATCTTATGCAGATGCAAACACTTTCTACAGGTTCTGTCCAGAACAAGAGTAAATCAGATCAATATAATCGGCCTGGTTTCTCAAACATCCATCTCTACTTGCGTCAAAACATGCAATACTGCGCGTTACTGGCAATAAGAGCCAAACACAAGCAGGATCTCCAGCAACACGGAAAGCAGGGATAAACGGGACCAAACTGAATCTCTGAAGAGGAAAGCAGAAGCTACGATGATGATTTCAGGGAAGACCTTTAGAGCTGTTTAAACGCTGCTTGATCTGTGCAGATTTCTCTCCTGATTCAGACCAGAACACTGACTCACTGGAGGAAGAGTTATTATGGATTATATACTATTTGAGTTAAAAAGGTCTTAATGCTGGATTAGTTTCAGCTGTTGTCTTCTCCAGATGTTAACTGATGGACTGGAGTGCTGTGGATTACTTGTGGATTATTGTGATGTTTTTATCAGCTGTTTGGACTCTCATTCTGACGGCACCCATTCACTGCAGAGCATCCATTGCTGAGACACTGATGCAATGCTACATTTCTACAAACCTGATGAAGAAACAAACTCATCCTGATCTGGGACGATCTGAGGTTGAGCACATTTTCATCTTTATGTGAACTATTCCAGGTGTTTCGGTTTTAATTCCAGATATACATTGATCTAAAGCGAGTCGTTGACATTAATAACAGAAGCTCTGGTGATGATTTCAGGGTTGTTCTTTAGCGTGTTTGTTCTGGTGGCTCTGAAAAGCCGCTAAATAAGCGAATCTCTCTACGCAGATGGAGCAGCGGTAAGGTTTCTCTCCGGTGTGAGTCCTCTCGTGACACTTCAGATGGGATTTCTGCCGGAAGCGTTTGTCACAGTGTTTGCACTGATACGGTTTCTCATCAGAGTGGATTCTCTGGTGTGACTTTAGACTGCCTGACTCTGTGAAGGTTTTCCCACATTCACTGCACTGGTACGGTCTCTCATTGGTGTGAACACGCACATGTTTCTTCAGATGAGATCCGTGGTTGTAGGTCTTCTCGCAGTGAGGGCACTTGTACGGTCTTTCTCCCGTGTGGATTCGCTTATGAGCTTCCAGATTTGCTTTGGTGCCGAAATACTTTTCACATTCGCTGCACTGGAAAGACTTTTCGTCGTGTGTCTTTATATGAACTTTCATTTTTTGAGCAGTGGTGAAAAAATCCTTCCCGGTCTGTTCACAGCGAAACTCCTTCTTCACCCTGTGCTCTTTTGAATGAAGTCTCCTCTCTTCTGCGGTAGGAAAGCTGATGTCGCATCTCTTGCAGCTGAAGTCTTTCTGTTCTGTGTGTGTTCTCTCGTGCTTCATTAAGTTTCTCTGTGAACTCAACTCTGTGAAACTCATCAGCTGACCTTTTTCTTCGTCTCCATCAGAAGATGAACCTCCATTTTCATCTGAAAGAAACAAAATGGTAATAAAATGTTAAAATGTCGGAAAGAGTCAGTGTATTATTCACTTTACTGTTATAGCCTGACTACAGATCTGATATGATTCATTATTTCTGTAATATCCGTCTATATCAGATCACATGGTGTTTTCTCAGCTCCATTTCACCACATTATTTTACAGCACAACAGCACTATTACAACAGCAATACATTTCCTTCATGATTTAATATTTTTATAATGTAATACTAACAATAATTCTCAAACCAGATGAGACCATCAGAGACCAGCAGCCAATATGAACTTGAGTCTCTGCTGACATTCAAAAGAAAAACTACTAAAGATCATTAAGAGAAGAAACACACCTGCAGGAATTAACTCTTCATCATCATCATCCTCCTCTTCCTCATCACTGTGTTGTTGTTCTTTCTCTGCGGTGGTCTCTTCTCCTCGGCTCTCGATCAGGTTCCTGCAGTCCAGCAGTTTGACGGAGCACATCTTCAGCGGCGTCTGCAGCGTCTGCTGTTCTCCAGCGTTACAGTCAGAGGTTTGATCAGCGGATTCATGATCCTGAGCGTCAGTATAACAGAGTAAAGTGAGGCTGAGCTCTGAGTCCTGTGTGTCTCTGGATCTCTGATCTCTGACGCTCCAGACTGAATCCTGAGCTTCTGTCCCGTCAGTCACACGCACCGAAACCTGCTCCAGATCCTGAGGAACACATCACAGATAAACACTAATAAACAACCAGCTGCTGATATTAACCTCATGACTCAGACGTTTGGTTTGTAGCAGAAGTCTCATTGAGTGACTGAGCTGAAGGATGAAATGAAGAGCTGTTCAAACCTCTCCTCTTTCTCTCAGCTTTGCCTCCAGAGACGCCACCTCTTTCTTCAGCCGACAGATTTCTGAGATGAAATCCTCAATATCCAGCATGGACAGATCAGTTCCTACTGATTTACAGCAGAGCACATCCACCTGCGCTTTCATGATCAACATCTGAACACAAACACAGCAGGATTACTAAAAGAAGCATTTATAATGAACTGATCAAACTCAACATGACAGCAGAACTACACAGAACAGAGCTGTTAATAAAGAAAACTACTTCATTTCTGACATATATATATTATGAATATATTATATTATTCTTATGCATATATACATATATATATATATAAATAATTGGACAAAATGCTCAATAATAATCAGAAATGTGTCTCGAGCAGCAAATCAGCATATTAGAATGATTTCTGAAGATCATGTGACACTGAAGACTGGAGTAATGATGCTGAAAATACAGCTGCGCATCACAGAAATACATTACAGCTTAACACATATTCACATAGAAAACAGCTGTTTTACACTGTAGTACTAGTAATATTTCACTACTTTTACTGTATTTTTTATCAAATAAATGCAGCCTTGATCAGCAGAAGAGACTTTTTTCAGAAAAATGTATTGAGCTGCAGCTCTTTGTATTCAGTTATTGTGACAGGAATATCATCACATACATTAGAGATGTATAATATTCACAGATGAATATTTGTCACACCGGGGTATTTTAGTCACATACAAAAAAAACCCACCTTGGAACATTTTCAGTTATTGCCCAAGAAACAGAAACACCTATAGCGGGGCATGTTGTCACAGCCGTGACTGCTGTTTAATGACACAGAGCAGAGAAAAAGACTTTCTAGAATCTAGAGTATAAAAAAAGCCATCTTCCACAATTTATGCATTTAAAATGTGTCTCATTTAATTACTATTTACACAAAAACAATTCATTAAATGGCAACAGTGCAGAAAGTAACAAACACTGAAACATTGTTGATGGTTCTGAACTGTAGAAACTGTATAAGCAAAGAGAACGTGTGTGACTATAAAAGACAAAGAGAGATTCTGGTCAATCGCGTCTTGGGTTATTATTGAAGAACAAGTCCTGCTGTGTTTTATTTGCAGGTCTCTGCAGCGGTGTAATCGCAGGAGAGCCAGTCGAGACGGCAGTCCTTCTCTTGCACATTAACCGTTTGCTCCGAGTCTCGGCCTGCTGTCGCCGGATCCGCCGAGCGTTCGGCCGCGTCACCGCTCGAGTCTGAACCGCTGGGAGCGACCGGACCCGGCTGGTTTGGGTTGAGAGGGAAGATCCCGCAGGCTCTGAACGCTGCGCTGATGTTGTCCGGTGTGGCCGCCAGCGGCAGCGCGGAGGCGATGATTCCCGGCACGTGATGAATGGTGATGCTCCTCCCCGGACTGCCCAGCATCCAGCCGTCGACGGCCGTGTTGACGCTCTTCTTAAACGGGCCATAAAGTGTGCGCTCCAGCTGCTGGGAGCAGTGCGGCGGGAAACAGAGAGACACCACGCCGCTAGCTTTGGTGAAGTTGAGGCCCTCGATGGACAGGTGCGCGGCGTGGCTGTCCAGCAGCAGCAGGCAGGGTCTCTCCGCGGTGCAGTCGGTCTGTCGCGTGAAGTGCTGTAGGAAGTCGAGGAACTGCTCCTCCCTCATCCAGCCACTCAGATGGGCTCCGCCAGAGCTTCCCGCGGGCGCGCCGCTGAGGAAATGCTCCCTGAACTGCACCCGCGGGAACACAAAGTAGGGCGGCATCACGTGAGCGGCGGCGGAGACGGCGCAGGCGACGCTCACCAGGGGTCCGCGGTCCGCAGACGTTTGTCTCAGGCCTCTCCGGGCCAGCACTCGATCCGGCCGCTGGGCCGTAGTGATTCCCATCTCCTCCATGATCCACATGTGCTCGGGTCTGAAACTGTGTCGCTCCGTCAGCGCCGTCAGCTTACTGTAAAACACCTCGTCGTGACTCCTGCTCGAGACGCTCGCCGGACTCCTGATGGACAGCAGCGGGTGTCTCTTTAAGAAGCTGGCGAACCAGTCTGCGCTGGCCTGTTTGTTGTCCCTCCACGAGGGCGGCGTGTGCAGCTGGTGGCTCTGGGCTAGCTGGTAGGCCAGTTTGCGGATCGCTCGCGGCGGGAGCGCGTAATAAACGTCAGACGCCAGTAAAATGTAGGCGAGGAGTTCGGCCTCCAGCTCGGGGCTGAAGACCTGCCGCGCGCCGATGAAGCCCACGGTGCAGCTGGGGTGCTCCGCGCTGCCCTCCACCTCCTCACGCGGGATTTTGGTGCAGTAGCGGGCCAGCGTGCGGTAGTTGATGCCGAACTCTTCTGCCGCACCGCGGATGGTTTTCTTGAACACCAGCACCTGCCGGACGGCCTTCAGCATGGTGTCAGGAGCCGTACTCGCGCGGGTCGTCTTCCTTTTGTACGTCCTCACCATGATAGTGCTGAAAAACACACAAATGATTCATCATTCACATAAACGAATACATATATGGTACATTTTATTAAAATGTATCAGTGGCATTTGCCCTCCCACCCAGGGCTATAACTAAAACCTTAAAAATGCATTTTTGTTACTTGACATAAACGTTAACTGAATTAACATTTCTTTAAAAATTAAACGTCTTTAATTAAAATTTTAACTTTTTTTAGTTTAATTACTTGGCTAGTTTCCAATGCGACATTTCTAATTTTCTTTAAATAACTAAAACGGAAATAAAAATGAGTAAAAACTTTATATACGTTTAAAAAACACTATTAAAATTGACAAAAACACACAACATTAATAAAACTTTAAAATTACAATGAAAACATAAAAACTAAATTCTACTTATTCGGCTGAAAACAATACTTTACTGAAATAATGCCCAAAGGGTATTTTAAAGATGCAATAGGGATACTGCACAAGTGTAGTGCTACTGACCTCAAGCTCGTGATGAGTCTTGAATGGCAGTGATTGTGTTAAGAATCGGTCAATCATGTTAACTTAACCAAGCAGACAATACATGGGTTTTACATGTAAAATAGATATTTAAATTCAAAATCAAAACATTCTACAACAAAAGGAATTTACTGGCCACTTAAATACCTAAACTTGTTTTTAAATATTCCCTACAGAGTGACACAGTGGGACTTCTATCTGTCAGGGAGAGCACTCCAGTGCGCAGGCGCGGATTAAGCATCACCACACGACGTGATTGAGACACCAGAGCGAGTGCCCATTTGAAATGGCTTGGGGATCACTCCATCCCAGTAGGTGGCGGAAATGCACCTTAAGCTGGTTTGCCAACCGCCATTAAACACAAAAGAAGAAGAAGAAGAAGAGACACCAGAGCACTGTCAGAAGACAACATGCAGTAGTAGTGAAGTACAGAAGTCTGACCTCCGCGTGCTCCTCAGAGCTCCCACGTGACCCCGGTTTTCCCGCCACTTAACAGACACAATGAAAACCAGTTGCACCGAGTGCGACCTAACTAGTGTTAACTAGTCCACAGCAGCTAATTAAAACACCATATAGGAATATAATGCCTTAAGCGTGTTTAAATGGTTACGCCCGCAAACGCGAAGACGTCGGCTCATTTTACAAGCAAATATTAACGCAACGATTATGAGCTGAAATTATCACGTGACATTTGTGGATGAAAACATCCCTGTCTTAGGAACAAAGTTCAACCTTTGGGTTAAAATTCCATAGTCTAAATGTAGGCTAACTGTGTTCATTTGTTACCCAACAGATTATCAACAAATATTGTCGTAACAGAATTAATAGATGGCGAAATTCACACAAGTGTCCTCATGTAAGAGCCGAGTGTTTGAGCACAACATGCAGAAGCTCTGCTAGAGAAACCACGCGTTTGTTTATTAGTTTGGACTCAAATCCGTGTGACAACTAGCCCCGGTCTCTTATTTATAACGCATTTCGCGCTCAGTCGCCGGATTTAATAAACTGATATAAGAGAGAAACTAAATGTGAGACTTCTGCTCGTTTCTCCAGAAACAGTGAATGAACCCGTCCAGCTCAAAACAGCGAGATCCTGCGAGAAAAGCTTCGCTTACTGTCACTAAAGCACTACAGTCAGAGAGAAAACCATCGAGCATACAGAACAAAATAAAGAGATAAAGCAGAGAAAGGACGCACCAGCGGAGAGAGCGATGAAGCCGTGCCTCTTCCGCGCGGATCAGACGCTCGCAGCGCCCCCTGCTGCCCGGGAGGAACCACAGATACACATGATTATAAACACAGTCTGCACTAGTACACATCTTCAGTGCTTCTTCACATGAAGACACCAGACAAAGTCACTTTAATCTCACTATAAGCACTTAAATATGATGAATAATATATATATATATATATATTCCATGGAAAAACACCTTTTTTTCATTTGATCACTGCGTCACGTCATTAATCGCAAAAAAAGGGGCTGTGGAAGGTGACCATATTGTAGGCTACTACTTTTGTTATTGACCCAGAACCATTACCATTACATAAACTAATAGTCTACGTAAACTAGTAGAGCATAACTGAGATTGCTGGCCTCTGAACGATAATTAATACCAATCATAAACATCACACATGATGCAGATAACTCTGTGATCGACACGTTTCTCATGCAGTGGAGCAAAACTGCAGTGAAGTTATATTCTTTTTCACAGGTTTACCCTTGTCTGTTTGTCTGTTTGTCTGTCTGTCTGTCTGTCTGTCTGTTTGTTTGTTTGTTTGACCCAGGTTTTGCAATAAATGTCTTCTATTAAAACCAGTGTGAACCTTATGTGTTGGCCCAGCTAACAAACATATGCTTTGAGAACGTTTTGCTAACGTTCCCGTTAAGTTATGGAAATGTTATATTTGAATGATCTCTGAACATCTGTTTAAACAAGAAAAAGAGACACGTTTTTCTTTGGTTATGTGAAAGTTAAGGGAACATTCCATTTCGCAAACATCATGGGAATGTTACTTTTGAATGTTTTCTGAACATTCTGAAACAAGTAACATTAAAAAAAAAAAAAAAAAGTATCAAAAGTAAAACGTTCTATGGATGATGTATAAATCATGTTTTTGTGCTAAGGTTTTGAGAACATCACAGAAGAGATCATTCTGAACGCATGTTCTATTAAAGTAACTGGAAGAGCATTAGTTAAGCCAGGCATCTGAGGAGGTGCTTCGAGGTGCTTCTACACAGCGGTCATGTCTCATTCATCTCATGTGTGTAAAAGTCAAGCATGCAGCGTCTTATCAGAGATCTTTAGTGTCCCTCCCTCAGTTTATCAAGATAAATATTCCCTCCTTCCATTAATGGAATATCTCAACTAAACTAACATTATACTTTATGATGGCTTTCACTTTACACAACAAACATGTTATTTTAGCTGGCCCAAAACAGTCCTTTATGCTGCTTTTTCTTTTTTTTCTTTTTTTGTAGACTGGTATTTCTTCAGTTATTTTCATAAACACAAACACACTGGTTTGTACTGCAATACTATGCTGTCCAGAGAAAACAATTACTCACAGCGATCATGTGATTTGTCTTTCCTCTGAGAAGGGAAAACAACAAACAGAAACGGTCATATTCGAGGGAAAGAGATATATATAAATAAAATAAGAAAGAAATAAAATGCCTGGTTTAAAGCAGGAATTATGACTAGAACAGAGAATTAGCACAACATCCGGTTGCACAAACACAGCCTCTATGTTAAGACCATGACAGAACTACAGTCGTGGCCAGAAGTTTTGGCACTGACATAAATCTTCACTGTGATGTGCTCATTCACACGGTTTCTAGATTATTGTGTAGAGTGATCAGATGCATTTTTAATAATTGCTAAAATCTTCATTGGCCAAAAAATGAACTTTTCACAAAAAAACTAATTTCAGTGTTTTTTGATCCTGACACAAAATGAGCAGCTAACATGAATTGAGTAATCATATCAGCAGCACATGTGAAAGTGTGAATGAGTACTAGTCCGGTTAATCACTATCATACTAATCAGATTGTAAGAGCAGACTGATTGCTATAAAAGCGCTTCCAATCATTGTGTTCTTGTTAGCAATGGTTACCTCCAAAGAAACACGCGCAGTGAGGCCAAGACTTCTGGATAACGGCCTGGTGTCAAGAAGAGCAGCAAAGAAGCCACTTCTCTCCAAGAAAAACCTCAAGGACAGACTGGAATTCTGCAGGCAGTACAAGGATTGGACAGCAGAAGACTGGTGCACAGTTATGTTCTCTGATGAAGCTCCCTTCCGACTGTTTGGGACATCTGGAGAATCGATTGTTCGGAGAAGAAAAGGTGAACGCTACCATGAGTCCTGTGTTGTGCCAACAGTGAAGCATCCTGAGACCATCCTTGTGTGGGGTTGCTTTTCATCCAAGGGAGTGGGCTCTCTCATAATTCTGCCCAAAAACACTGCCAGGAATAAAGAATGGTATCAAAACTTCTTCCAACGATCCATGAGCAGTTTGGTGATGATCCGTGTATCTTCCAGCAGCACCGTGTCACAAAGCAAGAGTGATAAAGAAGTGGCTTGAAGATCATTACATTGAGATTTTGGATCCGTGGCCAGGCAACTCCCCGGATCTCAATCCCATAGAGAACCTGTGGTCAGTCCTCAGAAGGCGAGCGGACGAGCAGAAGCCCACAAACTGTGATCAACTCCGAGAACTAATAGAGCAAGAATGGATGGCCATCAGTCAGGATTTGTCTCAGAAGCTAATATCCAGCATGCCAGAGCAAACTGCAGAGGTTATGAAGAACAAGGGTCAGCACTGTAAATATTGACTCATATTATTTTTTTGCCAATAAAAGCCTTTAAAACTCATGATATTCTTATCATTGTTTTTCAGCATACCATAAAAACATGGAAAAATAATCTACAAATACTGAAGCAGCAAACTCTGCAAAACACAAAATTGATGTCACTGCCAACACGTTTGGCCACGACAGGTAACCAGCGGGAAATCAGTCTATACCGTATGGTTTTATGTAACTCCGTTTAAGAAGTCTCGAGCAGTCTTTAGATGACTATGCTGTAAGTCTAGTCTTTGGCTGATGATGTAAGCGGCTCTGGTGGTGCTGCAGTGTGTTAGAGGTGAGCTGTGTTTGTGTTCAGAGGTTCAGAGGTCTTCCACTGGTTAATATGTAATCTGAGAGCAGAATAAAGCTGCAGCGCTTCTAGTCTGAGCGTCCCGGAGCAGAAACCATGAGCTACGGTCTGTTCTTCTCCGCCGAAACATGGGCTCTGCTCATGCTGTTTGTGGCGCTTCTGTATGTGTAAGTGACCTGTGACTCTGTTAAACGTCAGTTAGTAAGAGTTTGAAGAATTACAGTCGTATCATTCTGGTGCTGTTTATGTCATAGCATCTGTCTGAGAACAGTCTGAGCTGTTATTCATATGCTTCGGATGTCATTTCCAGATATGGATCCTGGCCTCACAGTTTCTTCAAGAAGCTGGGCATCCCGGGGCCCAAACCACTGCCGTTCTTCGGAACGATGCTGGAATATAGAAAGGTGAGTTTGTAGTCTTAAAGCAAGTACAGCATGAATCTGACGTTGTGTTTAATTGACAGATTTGGATGTTGATGTTCTCCTGGCTTTCTGTCAGTCCATCTCGACTCGTAGCGCAGCTTTGAAGATCCACTCGCTTTAATAAATGAATCTAACCTGAGCCTGGGTGTCTTTACTTCAGCTTCTCTTCTTTGCATAGTCCCCTCGTGTTTCTCCAAACGTGAACACATCTGTCTCTGCTCTTTCAGGGGTTTCATCAATTTGATGTGGAGTGTTTCAAGAAGTACGGACGAGTCTGGGGGTGAGTGTGAGACTGACAGAGGAACTTCACAGATCAGTCTCAAAGAATCAGATCAGAACATCTGACACAAATGAAACCGAAATGAACAGTTTGAAGGTTTAACACTGTCTTTATCAGATCAGTGACAAGCTTTATAAGATCTGTAATGACGAATCAGGTCATTATGAGAGACTGAACGTGAATCTGGTCAAGATTATAATGAACAATGATTCTTCTGAATTTAGTGTCAATGTTGTTTGTGTTTCTCGCAGTATCTACGATGCGAGGCAGCCCGTTCTGTGCATCATGGACCAATCCATCTTCAAAACCATCCTGGTTAAAGAATGCTACTCTCTCTTCACCAACAGAAGGGTAAAATCATCATCTGAAGTTAAATCAGCCTCGTCAATACTGATTTGATCTACTGAGAACATAGCATGATGGACCGTGGTGATGGTCAAAGATGGGAGGTTATATTAAGTTATATTTGCTCACGAAGCAAGAAAATGCAAGCACATTTATTTCAATCACCATGTCCACTTTGGCGCTTATACGTCATCTTTCAACTCAAATACTGATAAATATGAATCATTTGAATGTTTTCAGGCTGCTGGAACAGTGTGTGTTTGTGTTGTGGCTTCATCTGGATTTGTCCTCTGAACCGGCAGAACTTCCGTCTGAACGGGCCGCTGTATGACGCCGTGTCCATCGTTGAAGACGACGACTGGAGGAGGATCCGCAGCATCCTCTCGCCCTCCTTCACCAGCGGGAGGTTAAAGGAGGTCTGTGAGTCTGGAGTCACTCACACATACATGTCCTCTTCTGTTTGATAATGCCACAGATAAACCGTCAGTCATCTGAGAGAGAAACCCAGACTGGAGCTGAGCTGAGCTAATGATTCACATTATACTTCATGCTTTATTCTATTATCTGCATCTGCATCCTTCTCATGCTTTAATAGTCCTCTAACAGTTAATATCTCTAGTGATTACATGTTACAGTACTGGCAAGATTTCAGCTCAAGATGTAAATGACTCGTTTGAACCACAGAGTCATTCATGCTGAGGAGGAAGTGTGTGTTACCTGTGTGTAATCATGATGATGATGATACACTGGCGTTCCTCGCTCTAGATGTTTGGCATCATGAAGACTCACTCTCACATTCTGGTTGATAATCTGGGGCAAACAGCGACGCGAGGAGAAGCCGTGGATGTTAAAGAGTGAGTCGCACACTCCAGAGTCTAACATAAGATCACACATGGCTTCTTATTACCTGAATAGATAAGAACAGAGCTGCAATAGTATCACTGTAATCACCAGAGCAAAGGTGTTCAGATACCTCAACAATAATGTTTTATAAGCTCCCAGACAGCGGCGGAGCCAGGATGTTTTCATAGGGGTGGCACAGAACTCTTCATTATGTCAATATAAAATGTGTTTGACTGAAAGTACTGCCTAAAACACAAATGAATACAATTAATCTGTACTTAATTGTAGTTGAGATAGTTGTGAATTAGATCAAGTGATACTGAGTGAATATGGCAATTACTGTATTATTCCCCACCTCCAGGTATTTTAATAAAGGGGCTCACTGTAGCTTTATTGCTCCGTCAGCTTGGTTCTGGTTCTCAACACCCCCAAAAGCTTGTTCTCCATCACTGCATACTCACGGATGAGACATGCAGATAACTACATAGTTCAAAGTTTAGTCAACCTTCACTGCATTTTATTTAATCAATGAACTCTGGAAAAGTAAACAGTGAATGTTTAACATTCTATTAGTTGCCAAAGTAAATTAATTGCAAGATCTATCATACCTAAATTGACCTCTGTACAAAGGAAAAGGAAAAACCCTGTTCTCTTTTGAATCCACACGTGCGATGTGAAAAAGAATGGAAAACGAGCTATTTTACTATGGTTTCATTTTCGACTTTACAAATTAACGAAAAATTAGCGCATATTTTGTAGTACAAGTGCACTGTTGTGAAAGTTTGTTTTTCTACGTTTTACTGACATATAGCCAGAGCCGATCCTCCCTATATTGTTGCGTAGGGCCCCCAAAACACCGGGGGCCCCCTTGCTCTCAAAAATTATTTAATTGTAGTTTCGTGTTTGATTTTGGCCAGCGGTTATGAACACATGAATGTTCCTGCCGTTCTTGCTCGATACTAGAAAACGAGTTATATTCACACTGAGCCACGGAAGAGACACTGTTTCCCAAGCGCTTTCCGTGTCCGCGATTCGAGACGGAGTGAAACATGGACAAATATAGGCTACTTTGAGCTTTGTATATGTCACAATGTCCGTCTTGGTGAGTTTTCACTAAACACAGTCAGTCATGTCTTTAGTGAAAATAAACCGTTTGAAAGGTAATCGAATGCTAGTCAGTATCTGTGCATCCTACTGTATAAACCTGCTGCTGTCTGTCATTAATGTTCATCACACAACACAAGAAAATTAGAGAATTATTCACCGCTCTTCACTGAATATCAACTTTGTTATGAATCAATTTATGTTTAATTTATATGGTGAAGTCTGTGCAGTGCTCTACATTACTTTAATAAATTTCTGTATAGTAGGCCATTATAGGCTCAATTGTTTGCATGTCCGCATGTGTTCAGGTTCTTCGGCGCGTACAGTATGGATGTGGTGACCAGCACGGCGTTCAGCGTCGACATCGACTCTCTCAACAACCCCAAAGACCCTTTTGTGACCAACATCAAGAAAATGCTGAAGTTTGACTTACTGAACCCTCTGTTCCTGATCACCGGTAAACAGCTCAACTAGTCCTGTCAGTTCAAGTGTAGGACACTTTGTGAACAGCCTGTTCTTTTTCGATTTCTGCACCAGCTTTATTTCCTTTCATCACTCCTGTCCTGGAGAAAATGGATTTCGCCTTTTTCCCAACATCTGTGACCGATTTCTTCTTTGCTGCCTTAAAGAAGATCAAGTCTGAAAGAGTGGCCAGCGACCACAAGAAGGTACGACAAACACTTCACACGAACAATGCCATGGTCATGGGTTCGATTCCCAGGGAATGCATCAACTGATCAAAATGCATACCTTTAATCCAATGTAAGTGGCTTTGAATAAAAGCATCTGCCAAATGCATGAGCGTGAATGTAATCGCATGCATCTTCCTGTAGAAGAGAGTGGACTTCCTGCAGCTGATGGTTGATTCTCAGACAGCAGGGAAGGAACACACAGAGAAAGGTGAAGCATCTCAGATAGCTAACCATAGAGTAAGAGCTTGCACTGTATTTGAAGGCTCGTTCCTCACACCGTGTCCCGTGCAGGTCTGAGCGACCACGAGATCCTCTCGCAGTCCATGATCTTCATCTTCGGCGGGTACGAGACCACCAGCAGCACTCTGTCCTTCTTCTTCTACAATCTGGCAACCAACCCAGAGGCCATGAAGAAACTGCAGGAGGAGATCGACCAGACCTTCCCTGATAAGGTAGAGCTTCAATGAATCTCTCTCACTGGGATCAGTCTGAAGAGTTTGAGGCTTTACCCGCTGACTCCACTGTGTTGAAGGCTCCGGTGGACTATGAAGTCGTCATGAACATGGAGTATCTGGACGCGGCGCTGAACGAGTCTCTCCGGCTGTTCCCCATTGTTGGTCGCCTCGAGCGGGTCTGTAAGAAAACGGTGGACATCAACGGCCTCCTCATCCCTAAAGACATGGTGGTGATGATCCCGACCTTCGCCCTCCACAGAGACCCGGATTACTGGAGCGACCCGGAGAGCTTCAAACCCGAGAGGTCAGGACGCCTTTCAATCATTAATTTAAGTCAAGTCAAGTCAAGTCAAGTTTTTACACTAAAAACCCAACATCTCATTGGTTCTAACTGTCTGTACAGATTCCTGTAACGAGCAGACTCTCTCTTGCCTCATTCCCAGGTTCACTAAAGGCAACAAGGAGTCGATCGACCCCTACATGTACATGCCCTTCGGTCTGGGGCCCAGGAACTGCATCGGGATGAGGTTTGCTCAGGTGAGCATGAAGCTGGCCATCGTGGAGATCCTGCAGAGGTTCGACGTCTCCGTGTGTGACCAGACTCAGGTGAGCAGACGGATGCTCCTCACCATCTCACAGGAGGACTGCGGTCCTTCACTCACGCTCACCTTCTCTTGCTCTTCACAGGTTCCTCTGGAGCTCGGCACCAGTGGTCTCCTGGTTCCCAAGGACCCCATCAAACTCCAGTTCAAGCCTCGGAAGGTTTTCCTCTCAGAAGATACGTGTAACAACAACACATCGTAAAGAAGCTCTGCTGCTCGCTTCTCTTTCAGTCCGAGGAGAAGGTTTAACTGGTCTTTTAAAATAAAAGAATAGACGTAGTCTCTAGTCTTCAGTGATTCTCTTTCGGACTCAGACTGAGAGTTCAGTAACTTTAATCGGACAGATTCTGCTGTCATCTGGGACTTTCTGAGACTGCCAACAATAATGCCATGAGATTCATATTTAGGGGGTTTATTTTGATTGAGAGAACAAAAAATGAGATCAACCTTTAAAGAAATTATATGGAAATATGAAATAAAATGTATTTTAAAAAGTCTGCAGAAATGTATGTGACATTCCCAGCCCGCTGCATACTTGCATCTGCACGAATACACATCTCCAGTACTACTTCAAATTAATACACCAGACAAAATAACTCAATCTCACTACAAGCACATAAATATGATGAATAACGCTGCGTCCTCTGACACACATTAACACTCAAACATATTTCCATTAACCTTTTCTAACACCAAGATGTTAAATCAGGATATACACGTGAATGTGACCCACAATTTCTCAATGGCCACCAATTCTTGCAAGGGTTTCATCATTTTAAATTCCCTTTTAGTTCTTTTTTCCCACAGTTTCAATGGAAAAGTATTCCAAAAACACTTTTTTTTTGGCGTTTTACTTGAGGGTACAATGAAGACGGCTCATAATCAGGCCTTATAGGGTTAGAACCTACAAGCTTTTTGTTAATGACGCTTTATCTTTAACCACGCTTTATTAGCCATACCTCAGGAACGACATGCTTGTTTGTGCATATGTGTTCATGACCCAGAGCCATCACATTACTAAACATATAGGCTAGTCCTCTTAAAACACATATTGGCCTGGTTTCACAGACAGGGCTTAGGTTAAACCAGGATTAGGCCATAGTTCAAGACATTTAAGTAAGTAGCTTTTATAAATTTGCCTTTGATAAAAACACTACTGATGTGCATCTTCAGACAAATCAATGGCACTGACAGATTTTAAGACCAGTTTCTTTCAGTTAAAACAGCCCAGACATGCGTTTTAGTCTGGGACTAGATCTTACTGATCCTAAACCTTTGAACAACAGTGTATATAATTCATAAAAATAATAAAGATACATATAAACATATACCTATATATTTAATTTCAGTGTGATTTTTTATTAATAAGGGTCAGTTTGACATGCAAATATCATAATATTTCATAATGATAATAATAGTAAATGCAACCAGCACTCCAGAACAGAATGCAGAGTGTTGTCAGTTTGTTGTGATTGGTCGAGAGTAAGAAGCGAGCTCTGAACTGAGAAACGCACGCAGGTTCAGGTCACAGATCTGCAGAGGTCGCTCGTTATGTGCTTACAAAAACACATCATCAAATATACACTTAAAAACAGGGTTATTTTAGTATTATTGAGATATTAGTTTTTGTTAATATTTTGAATGTTTTCATTTTTATATTTTAGATTTTTAAAATAAAGTTTTAGTCATTTTTATTAGTTTAGTTTTTTTAAATATGTATATAGTTTTATTAATTTTCTCTCAGTTTTAGTTATTTTAGTATTAAACTAAATTAAAATGAGATTAGAGATTAGCAACTAGCTGAAACATAATAATCATTTCTATTTTATTTTTCAGTTAAAGACTTTTATTTCCAGTAATAACTGTTTTTTAAGGTTTTAATTTTAGTTCATGATAATAAACCTGCATAAAAACAATTCAAATAAGTCAGACAACAGAAAAGTCATATAAAATTAAAAGCTGATTTTAAAAAAGTATGTTTTACCATAAGATTTGAGAACACAATGTCTGAGCTTGTTTAATATCAGCTGCAAGTGATTTCTGTAGATTAAGAGTAGAGGAACATTACTACACCACAATACTAAAACATACTAAAAGTAAAACAAAAAAGGTTTGGGCTCAAATATCATAATGAGTGTGTTTCAAAGGGTTTCTTTCTCTTTATTTATGAAACAGTTGTGGATAATACTGTGATATGACTGTGGGGTGATATTGTGAAGAACCTATCATCAAAGCTCACAAACAAATGACTGTTTATTCAAAAGCAGCACACTGTAAAATCTTCACTAAACTCAACCTCATATTTAAATAAAACAGACAGACTTTGTTCAGAACAATGCTTGAGTTCAGATGTTTGCAATCGTTGTTATAAAGTGTTGGTTCACTGGGTCATTCTCTCCACTCTGGCGA